CCGCGCGGCATTAAATTATGCCAATCTTCGTTGAGTTGTGCTTTCTGCGCCCGACGGCGCCCAGGGCGGCCGTTGCCTGGGCTGTTGACTTCTTGGCCAGAAACGGCTTCGCGCGGGCTTGCGAACTCGCTAGTGCGGGGGCCGCAGGCCGTGAAGGATGGCCAGTCACCGCGCAGGCTAATGTCGAGGCCTTGCACGATTTATTCAGGGTCACGAAGATTGCTGCGCGCCGAGGCCGGGTAGCGCGCGGAGGTTCGGGGCGCGCCGCCTCCCCCTTCCACCGCGCGTGCCCCGCGCGCCCGCCCGCGGCCGGTCGCCGGCGGCGCGCGCGGCCCCTGGCGCTCCGAGATTACCCGAGGCACCAGGGGCGCGTCTTCTGCCCCGCGTACTTGCAAATTCCCCGCGCACCGTGGCTCGCGAGGCGCAAACTTCCAGCGTCCTCGATCGCCTGGCTGCGCCGATCGCGCTGCCCGTGGCGCGCGGGACCCAGGCGGCGCTCGCCGAGGCCGCCGCGCGCCTCCGCGGCCCCGCAGACGCGGCCCGTCGGCGAGAAGTCGAACGCGCTCGCGCCATGCTGCAGTCATGCGCGCGGTCGCTCCCAAGCGTGAGAAGCGACCTCAAGTGTTGGGAAGCCCACTGCGGCGGGGTGCTGCAATGCCCCGGCATGCAGCTTCCGCCAGTCAGCGCGAACCTGTTCGCCTGGGGCGCCCTCTTTCGCCGCGGGGCGACGTGCGCGAACTATTGTGGCTGCGTCGGAGTCGGGTGCCTCCTGGCAGGGGTCGGCGTCGCAGTATTCGACAGCCCCGAGGTCGGGCGCGCGCGCGCCGCCGTCCAGGCGCGGGGCGATTGGACTCCGCGCCCGCGCTCAGCAGAAAGTGTGTAGTCGCAGCTCTGGTCGACTGGGGCGCGCGCCGCTTCGCGCGGCTCTGCACCTCGATGCCTTTTCTCTTTGCTTGCGCGTTTCTATTGAAAGTGCCCAGCGAGGGGCTGCCAGCCGTGCGCGTGGCCGACTTCTGCGACGCGCCGTCCTTTCGCGCGGCGCTCGTGCTGGGCGCGGCGGGGCTCGCGCTGCTGCTGCGACGGCGGAAACCAGGCGCAGGGCAGTCGCTTGTCGCGGAGTTGCTGGCGCGCGTCGTGCCGCGTCGCGTGCCCCGTGCGCATCTTGGGCCCCCGGCTGGCGCGGCGCGAGCCGGGTTGCGCGCTTTTTGCAGGCGTCTCGGCGGCGGCCGCGCTGCGGGCCCTGCGTGAGATGCTCGCAGCCCTCGGTGTCCAAGGGGCGGGCCTGTTTCGGTTGCAATGCCTCCGCAGGGGCCGCGCCGAGGACCTCCAGGAGGCAGGCGCGACGCTCGCCGAGATTCTCGCGGCTGGCGAGTGGCGGCTCTGCGCCTTCATGGCGCATCTCGACTTCGACGAACTGGAGAGGGGCGCGGTCGTGGAGGCGGGGCCGCGCGTCCTTCGCCCGCGCCGCGGCGCTCCGTGCGCGCCAGGCGCGCTTGCTCGAGTCTGATTCTGACGTGGGTGCCTGCTAGGCGCTGGTGACCAGCGCCGCCACGGCTCGCTCCTGAACGTGGGCGCGCGTCCGCGACTGCGCCCGTGCTCTGCCCCCGCGCGTTTGACAGTGGGCGCGCGCGCGTTGCTGGCCCGCGTCGCCTGCGTGCCGTGCGGCATTGGGTTCTGCGCGCAGGCGTGGCGCGAGGCTGCCCGAGCGTCGGCGCGTCGGGCCCGGGCCCGTCGCAGCCGCCCAGGCGGGACCGGCCTCGCCCCGCGCTGCGCCCGCCGACGGCGGCAGCGGGCGGGGTCGAGGCCTTGCGCGCGCGGCTCGATCTGAGGTGGGCTCGCAGCGGTGCAGCGCGCTCGAAGACGCGGAGGTACGCCGCTGTGGGCAGGCACACATCGGCCACGGTTGCGCGTGGGTCGCGCGCGCGCGTCGGGGCGACGCGACCGTGGCCTTGCTGCGCAGGCGCGGGCCATCGCGCCGTCGCGCGCCAGGGATGGGCCGCCGCGGGGGGGGTCGGCGCTGCCCCCCGCGGCGAGTGTTTTTCGCGGGTGTCTTACTGTCCAGGCACAGGCACGGGTGGCCGCGGGGAGGGGCGCTGCCGCCGCGGCGCGTGCGCTTCGCAGGCAACTGTTGGAACAGGCGCCGCGCGCGCGGCGGGCGCTCCCCTGGCGCGCGTTCTTTCGCAGGCGTGGCGCGAGGCTGCCCCGCCCGCGGCGCGTCGGGCCCGGGCCCGTTGCAGCCGCCCAGGCAGGGCCGGCCTCGCCCCGCTCTGCGCCCGCCGACGGCGGCAGCGGGCGGGGTCGAGGCCTTGCGCGCGCGGCTTGATTTGCGCGGGGGCGTCGCCGTCGCGGGCAGCCCTGGCGGCGAGAATTTCGAGGTCGAGGCAGGCCCGCGACGCGCGGATAGGATCGCGAAGGAGGTTGGTCCAGGAGACGTTTCTGCGAAGTCTTTGGACGCGCCAAGATTCAGGAAGGAGAAAGCAGACCTGCAGGAGCAAGATTCATCGCCTCCTCTCGCAGGTGCGGAGGTGAAGCGTTGCAGGGGCCTCGCCGCGCGAGCTGCATATCTTTCGCCTGGCACAGCCGATGTCGGTGATGCAGTCAAGAATCTTGCGAAGTGCACGCGGTCCCCTTGGTAGGTGGGTGGGCGTGGCTCGGCGACATAGACTTGGGAAGTATCTGAAAGGTCGCCCACGGGTTGTTCACATGTGCAGGCGGGATCTAAGAATCACGGCTTGTGGAAATGTCAAGATATGGTGGATTCAGACAATGCAGGGGGCAAGGTATCGCGGGGGTCCACAGCCGGACAATTGGCGTTCATGGGGAGGCATTGCGTAAAGCACGGGTGCAGTTTGCTGCAAGTGATCGGTCTTTTGTGTGGAGAGAACGAATACTGCGCCATCGGCGTGGGCGCTTGCACGGGGCTCGGGATCAGAGGTGTTCGCGACGATTGGAAGATTGCGTCCGCTGTGAGGGCGGCCTCAGACGTCTCAGCCGCCCGGGTCTTTCCCCCCCAGCGCGGTGTGGGCAAGACGAAACACATCCAGATTCGGTGCTTGTGGGTCCAGGAGCGCATTGCCATGCAGTATCCCACATTCGCCGACTTGGAACCAGGCAGGATCTGTTCCGACCTTCGGACGAAGCCGCTAACGCGGAAAGATATCGACGACCACGTGCAAAGCATTGGCCACGATTTCCATGACGACGGGCCGCATCAGGGGAACACCTCGCGGGTAGCTCCGCTTGCCCGGCAAGGCAACGTGGTGGGCGCGAAGACGCCCCACCGGCTTGAGCTGATCTGCGGGCAGCCCCGCGGCAGCTCGACACCACAACCTTTTCTGAGTGCGGGGAGCCCCGCACAGCACTCAGCTTCGCTATTGTGCGCTTTGCTACACTAAACTTGGGCGGATCGCCACGTTTTACTACCTTGATATGGTTGCGGAGTCGTGTCAGACGCTGCTATCTGGAAGACAGCCTAGCTTGTAGCGAGGAGGGGTGTTGAAATAGCCTCTCTGCATATGTGCCTGCATGATTCTGATTGCTTCGTTGCATTGTGCTTCAGTTTTCGGTGTCTCAAAATGGTGCTGCCGCTGCAGCGTTGGCCTCATTGCGAAATCGGCGCGCTGCTTTCGTCGTTCAGAATGGCGCTTTTGCCCCAGCGCAGGCCGCTAGTTTCTGGATGGGGGTCTTTCCTATCGTTTCCTTTCTCCTCTCCCGCCCTCCTTCCCTCTCCTCCTTTCCTTTTGGTCGCCCTCCTCCTTTCCCTTCCTCCGCCTCCCCCCTGCCTCTTGCTCTTCCCGCTCTTTCTATTTCTGCTCCTGCTGCAGCTGCTCGTCCTTGTCCTCCTTCTTCATCGTCCTCATTTTCCTCCTGCCCATCCTTCTGTTCATCCGCCCCCTGATCCTCCAATGTGCGCTGCTCCCCCCGCTTCGTTTTCACATAACACAGCGTGGTCCCTTTTGGAATTCCAGGCCCGCTGGGACACGCGTCCGTGCACGCATGCGAAATCAACGCAGTGAGAAGGTATGCGTGGGAGGGGTAGGATTTCATACGTGGCACCAGCGCACCTAGGTTGACCTTCCCTTCCCCCTCCCTCTCCCCTCCTATCCCTCCGCCTTCTATCCCGCCTTCTGACCCGCCAGCCCCGCCCCTTCCCCCGCCTTTTTATGTGACGAAATCTATACATATCCGCTGCTGTTGGACAGGCCCATTTTGGCCCAAGAGCTGTGTTTATGCCGTCCTGGCTTGGCCAGGGAGGCATCTACACAGCTCCTGGGCCCAGGATGGGCCTGGCCAGGATCAGTGGGTGTGTATAGATTTCGTCGCCCTCCCCCTCCCCCCTGGCCAAGGCGCAGCGGAAACGACTTTCCATGTTTTCCTGGCGCCGAGCCGAGGCGACCCGACGCAGGCACCAAAGAGGAGGGGCCCGTGGGCGGCCCCAGGGCGGGCTTCGAGCGCTTCCCTCTCGAGGACGGAGGTCCGCGACTGCCGCGGTCTGACCAGACGGCACGGGCGGACTGCACAGGCGTCCGCCTTCTGGCTTTGCCCGGTCGACCTCCGTCGAACAGGAAGAGAACACACCATGCACATAAACTTTTGGCGTTCCGCGCGGGTTTTTTGGATCCGCCCTGGGGCCCCCTGGCGGCGCCTCTGGCTCCGCCCTTGGCACGCTCCGCGCGCAAGGGATAGGGGTCGGGCGCGGATGCAAGAAATCCGCGCGGAGCTCCAACAGTTTATGTTGATTTAGTTTTGTTGTTGTTGTTGTTGTTGCTGTTGTTGCTGTTGTTGTTGTTGTTGTTGTTGTTGTTGTTGTTGTTGTTGTTGCTGTTGTTGTTGTTGTTGCTGTTGTTGTTGTTGCTGTTTTTATTTTTATGATTCTTCTTCCTATTCTTATTATTATTACTATTGTTCTTATTGTTCTTCTATCCAGGCTGTGCCCGATCGATCTTCGTTCCCCTCCCCCGTGCCCTTCCCCTGCTGCTCCCCCTGACCCGTTCCCGCAGCCGCCCGTCGCCCGCGCGGGCGTCGTGGTGGTCCGGGACGTGGCGTCGAGAGGCGTCGTGGCGCAGTTGGAGGACCCCGTCGGCGGGAAGACGGAATTTCTCCTGTTGGGGAACAAGGTACCTAAGCATACACTTTCGGAAATCCGCGCGAATTACTTGGATCGGCCCTCCCAACGCCTCCGCCGCCGCCCCTGGCGCCGCCCCTGGCGCCGCCCCTGGCGCGCTTCGCTTGCCATGGAGGGGGGTCCAGCGCCATTCCCGGAAATCTCGGCGGACCCCCGTTTCTGGAATTTGTTGTTCCTGTATCTTAGTCGCTGTCCCCCTCCAGGAAAGAGACCCTGTCTGCAGGAAGGAGAATTCCTCGTATAATCCCCATCAAGTATCAACTGACACGCTGGTCAAGATTGTGGCGTTCGATTGTTCGTGCACTTGTCAGACATCGCGTTCTTGAGTGCTGCGAGGGTGTTGCCAGAATTCGCACACCCCTGCGTCTGGGTTGAATATCTCATGCGAGTATTGGTTAGTTCTGGCCACACAAAGACTGAAACTGACCAGAGAGCTCGGCCTTTGGCTCCCTGCCAGGCCCACGCCGAAGGGCAAGCACATATACGGGCGCAGCACCGCGCCGCATGCGTAGCCTTCGGCTGGATCAGGCAGGGTAAGACCCAACACTGCATCGCGTGGCGCGTGGATGCCCGCACCGACCCCGACTCCTCTCAGGCCTTGCCTCCGACCCCGCCTTTCGCCAACTCCTCTTCGTCCTCGTCCTCGTCCTCCGTCTCACCCATCGCCCCCGTCGTCCAGTTCCTCCGGCTCCTCCTTCCGCCGCCTCTTTTTCGGAAAAGAGAATCCATGGCTCAACTTGGACTTGTCAACTCCACTGCTCGCGCAATAATCCCGCCCGCCCGCCCGCAATTTGGTTTGCAAAGCCCATGCGGAGGCGACTGCGATGAGTGCTTTGTGTTGGCTGGTGCATCTCTGCGGCCGCGCTACCCCGCGCATGCGCGCGCGGCGGCCAGCTAGGTTTGGCTTGACTGACGCGGCCGCGGTGGCGCTGACCGCTAGGCGCATCCCAGCGGGCTCTTCAGTGCGAGTCGGCGATTTGGGCGGGCGCGGTATCATGGCAATGTCGACAGCGATAAACGCGATGCTGATCGTAGCGATGTTTGTGCCGATGTTGGCAACGACGGCGGCGCGACCAGTGACGGCGCCGATGCTGATCAAGCCGACGACGACGACGGCGTCCTCGCGTCGGTGATGGAGGTTTTTGAAGGAGCTCGACACGATAGTGGCCCGCGTGGTCGTATTTGGCACGGATCGTGCCCCCCCCAACACGCGCACAAGGGCGCTCGAGTGATTTCGGCTTTCGGCGCGAGAGGCCCGTTTGGCATTTTTTTCCCAAACGGGTCTCACGACAACACGCGCGCAAGGGCGTTCGACCGATTTCGACACGCGCGCAAGCGAAACCCGTTTGGTAACATGTTTTGAACATGTTGAAAAACCAATGGTTCTCTTAAGAATTTGCAGGGGCGTGAGGGTTTTTTGTTTTGAGAATTTTTGTTGCGAAACCATGGTTTTTATATGTTTTTGAAAGATTTCGGCATGCGCGCGCGGCGACGCACGCGTGTGCACTTCGTTCCCTCTTTTGCAAGGGATTGTTTGTTGAAAATTGATGATCCGTGATCAGCGATTGCGCGCGTATTAGTTTGTTGTAAGGGGTTGGGGTGATGGCCGATGCCGGTTGAGCTGGGATGATACGAGTTCACATTTAGGGTGGGCAATGGAACAGAATCGCATGTAAATTGCAATGGGAGATGGTGACCCGTTAACCCCTGGGGGGGTATATTTTGATTCCTTTTTAAAAGGAGAGTGTATGTTGTGTGAATTAAGTGGTGACGGGCATGTGATGCGGCGACGGATGGCGGCGACGGGCTGCGACGGACGGCGGCGACGGGCGGACGCAAGCCGGCCGCGAGCTGTCCGGCCTAGCGGATTATTCCAGATGCCAACCTGGCACACACGATCGCGACCAAAATGGTGTGGGGTCGGGCGGCGATGGGTGGCCACAAGCCGGCCCGAAGGGCGCGCAGGTCGCATTTTCCAGAATCTCCAAGTGCCAACGCTGTTTCAGGAAAGCACGCCACACATGCCAAGTTTGTTTCCGTGTCCTGGGGCTTAAAACGGGGCGTCCAAGACGGCCCAAGAGGGCTCCAGAAACGTGTTCAGATTCTATTTGTTTTTTTTTCCAGCGCAACAATCAGCCATGGAACAATTGATCGCCTGGTGTGGTCCCAAGAATTAGTGCTGATACAGTGTCGATAAAGAGCCATGCGCTGCAACGGCAAGGTGTGCACGTTACGGATTACCTCTTGGAGGCGGCGCCCGTGTCCAGGGTCAGAGGAATTGGAATCACATGTTATATATATATATATATATATATATATATATATATATATATATATCATAGGATTGTGCCTGTGGGACAGGCGGTATTGGTGTAGTAGAGGGCACAATGAGGAGACAACGTGCCGATATCTCGATTGAGGGGGTTCGCTGTGGTAGCGCACCCGGAAGAAACACACCCCTCATATTTTTCTGCAGTGGCGCGATAATTTTCTCGCGGAGACCGCAAGACCGCTAAGAGATAGTAGCGGGGCGGGCCGGGGAGGGGGAGACCTGCGCCAGGCATCACGCTCCAGGCGCACTCACCCCAGCTCAGAACGCGGGCGCTAGGCAGACCTCGCATACGAGGGGCGCCTGCGACGACGGCCTCCAGAACTTAATTACACACGCCGTCCGCATCGGTATTATACTCCCGGTTTACATGCCGGACCTGAACCGGTTGCACACCCAGCTCGAGTCGCAGTGTTTGGAGCAATGCCAACGCTCTCATACAGCTCCCGAATGGAGCGCGTTCTGCATCTCCACTTGCCATGTACCGGATTCCCTACCAACATGGAATCAACAAGGAAAACCAAAGATGGTGCGATGTTATTCCTGGCGTTCTGCATGCATCCTAACAGGCCCACGTATTCGGCATGTTTATTGTTGACGCCCCCCAAGAAGCAACCATACTTAGCGTCGACTCTGCGGACTCCATCGACATACCGCACACAACCGTATGAGGCCTGACGGTCGATTGCGATGCCTTGGTTGCGCGCTGCGCCCTCAGAGGCATAGACCACGATAGCTGTTTTAAGTCAGTCTTGGAAGTATTTTGGGCTGTCATTGGGTCCTCTTGGGCTGTTTTGGAGCCCTCTTGGATGCCTCTTGGGCCGTTTTCGGGTGGTCTGTGGGGCCTCCTGGGCTATTCTGGAGCGGCGGGAGGCGGAGACGGCGAGAACGTCTAAATCTTTTCAAGATTTGTTGGGCTTCTATGAATTGTGCCTCTCGGCAGTGCTCTGGGAGGCCTCTTGGGGCGTCATAGAGGCTTCTTCGGCAGTCTTGATGTACTCCAGCTTTGCAGCAGTGCGGGATTTTCGGAATGCTTGCGCTTTGCACTTCATGTTAACACACGGTCGGTGCTGCACGTTCTACGTGCATGGGGCCAGCTGATGGCCACCCGTCGCACGAGTGTTCGACATTTATCGACCACTGCGCGCCTCCACGATTTTTGTGTGAAACAATACATACACATATATATATATATATATATATATATATTATGTATATATATATACATTTATATACACAGAGATCATACTTATTAGTCGCAGTACAGTTTGTAGTACCATCACTCGTCTTATCGTTATTATTTTGGTTCGTGCGATGATTATTCGTATCATTACTTCCATCATCATTGTCATTCGTAATATTCTTATTTGTATCCGTAAGGGCTTCGCCCCCATGCCTCTGGCCTTCCTAGAATGGGAGTTGCCCGAGATTTGTTGGGATGTCCGGGCGCTGATGTGAAGCAATGTCGGGATTTCACGAACTGTTGGATATCTCACAACTACTAACACAGCATATTTCTCGAACGGTTTATGGCTTGGAGGGCGCGACTCCTATGTAAGTTATAAGGGATTATGGCTTCGGGGACGCGAATATAATAATTTAGAAGGGTTTATGGCTTTGACGACGCAACTATTGTATCATTTACGAGGTTGTATGGCTTCGGGGGCGCGAATATTGTGCAATTCACGAGGCTTTACGGCTTCGAGAACGCTGCTATTGCGTAATTTTCGAGGTTGTATGGCTTCGGGAGCGCGTATTTTGTAATTTATAAGGGTTTATAACCGCGAGAGCGCGACTACGGTGTAATTTACGAGGGTTTCTGGCTTCGGGGACGCGAACATGGTATAATTTAGAAAAAGGGTTTGTGGCTTCGGGGACGCACATATTGCGTAACTTACGAGGGTGTATGGCTTCGGGGGCGCAGATATCGCATAATGTATGAGGGTTTATGGCCTCGGAGACGCAAATATGGTTTAATTTTGGAAGGTTTTTGACTTCGGGGATGCAATCATGGTGTCATTTACGAGGGTTTATGGCCCAGGGGACGCGACCATTGATTAGTTTGAAAAAGGCGATTGGTTTCCGGGGCGCGAGTATCGTAATTCGCGTAGGTTTATGGTTTCGGGGGCGCGATTGTTGCATATTTTACGAGGGTGTATGGTTTCGGGGACGCTAGCAGTGCATATTTTACGAGAGGTCATGGCTTCGAGGACGCGAGTAGTATATAATTTGAAAGGATTTATGGCTTTGAGGACGCGACTACGGTGTAATTGACGCGGGTTTGTGGCCTCGGGGACGCGAATATTTTTACGCGTCCCGCGCCCCCCCAGGAATTCAGACAACGCGATTTGGGCGTGGTAACAAAGCTGGTTTGTGGCTCCCCCCCCCCAGGCGCGTTCAGCAACAATCAACAGTAAGGACAGTGGAAACTGGAAACTGAAAGAGGGACCCTGAGCTGCAATCCTCATCCTCGCAGCCTGGTGGCCCCGCAAGGGGGCCGGCGGATTATGATTTTTATTATGATTGTTATTTTTTACTACTCTTCTTCGCTTGTTTCGGCAAAATGCACTTCCATGCTACGCTCCGTCTCCTCCGTCGTCCTCCTCCTCCCCTTCCTCCTCCTCCCACTCCTCCTCCTCCTCCTCCTCCTCTTCCTCCTGCTCTTTCCCCCTCCTCCTCCTCCTCCTCCTCCTCCCTCCTCCTTGTTTTTCTCTGTCCTCCTCGTTCTCCTCCTCTTCCTCCTGCTCTTCTTCTCCTCCTCCTCCTTCCCTCCTCCTCCTCCTCCTCCTCCTCCTCCTCCTCCCCATGTTTTTTCTCCTGCAGAGAGGGAGAGGACAGAGGCGGGCCAGCAAGCAGCAGCAGGGGGCGAGGAAACCGTTTAGGCAGACCGCGAAAAACCGACTCGGGCAGAGGCGGGCGGCTCCAATTAGATACAGCACGACCCACGGGCCACTTCCGCCACTGCGTGCCCGAGCTGGCGCAGCTTGGGGGAGCAGCTGGGAGGGCCAGGGGAAGAGGAGGAAGGAGGGAGGAAAGAGCAGAACAGAACCCGAAAGGCGGACAACAGACGCGGCGGCGGGGAGGCGTGCGTCACCAGACCCCCTCCATCAGGCGCTCGCGCACCCGCCGGAGGCAAGGAACGGGGGAGGAAGAGGGGAACAGAAGGGAAGGGACGGGGGTTTGGAACATCGCAGCAGTGGCCTAGCGCAGAGAAGAGGGGAGGAGGGCGGCAAGCAGCTGGCCGAGCCCGCTCGGCGCTTCAGAGGCGGGGGTCCGCCGCTGGCCAGCGCCCCCCTGTGCGCCAGCCGCTCCGCGCCGCGGAGCTGCGGGGCTCTCCTTCTCCGCGCCCGCTCAGGCGTGGCAGGCACGGCGGGCCGCCGACCCAGCGCCTCGTTCTCCTCCTCCCCCTCCTCCTCCTCCTCCTCTCCTCCTCCTCCTCCTCCTCCTCCTCCTCAGTCCTCCTCCTCCTCCTCCTCCTCCTCCTCCTCCGTCCTCCGTCCTCCGTCCTCCGTCCTCCGTCCTCCGTCCTCCTCCTCCTCCTCCTCCTCCTCCTCCTCCTCCCTATCCCCCCCCCTCCTCCGTCCTCGCCCTCGCCCCTTGCTCTCCGAGCCGCAAGCCTCGCCCTCCCGCGAGGACCACTCCGAGCCCGTCGACGCCATGGCCTGGGACCCCAGCGGCCTCCAGCTCGTCACCGCGGGCGCGCAGGGGCACCAGGCGCGGGGTCTCCGCTCTGCTCTGCGGTCGTCGTCGGCGCCGTCGCCAGCATCCTCAAGAGGAGGAGGAGGAGGAGGAGGAGGAGGAGGAGGAGGAGGAGTAGGAGGAGGAGTTGACGATGATCAGCTGGACGAGGATAGTGATGACGTTTGTGGGGGGAGGTCGGTGAGGCTTGTGATAGCGGCGATGACGAAGACGATTACGAGGACGATGACGATGGCGATGACGGTGGCGATTGCGGTGACGGCGACGATTGCAGTGACGGTGACGGTGACAACACGATGATTTAGATGATGTTGTTATTGATATTGATGATGGTGTTGCTGCTGATGATGATGATGACGATGTTGATGATGATCATCCTCATCATGATGGTGGTGGTGATGATGATGCTGATGCTGACGATGATACTGATGACGGTGATGGCGACGATGGCGATGACGATAACGATTACTAGATGACAGATATCACGGTGATGATGATGAGGATCATGATCATGCTGATGCTACTGTTGCTGCTGATGGCGAGAAGGATGATGATGCTGATGAGAATGATAATGATGATAATGACGATGATGATGATGATGCTGATGATGATGATGATGGTGATGATGCTGCTGCTGATGATGATGATGATGATTACGATGATGATGCTGATGATGATGATGATGCTGACGTTGTGGTTGCTATTGTTGTTTCTGTTAATTGTGGTGCTTCTGATTATGATGACGGTCACGACGAGGATGAGGATGCGGATGATGATGACGATGATGGTGACGATGCAGATGACGATAACGATGACGATGCTGACAGTGAAGACGGTGATGAGGATGAGGATGATCATGATGTTGATGGCTACTGGTGTTGCTGCTGCTGACGACGATGATGATGATGATGATGATGATGATGATGACGATGACGATGACGATGCTCCTGATGATGATGACGATCAAGATATTGAAGTTGGCTATGATGATGGTGACGGTGAGGACGGTGAGGATGATGGTCATGCTGAAGATGATTTGATTGTTGCTGTTGATGCTGCTGCTGATGATGGTGACGATGACGACGATCATGATGGTGACGATGATTCAGAAGATGATGTCGACTTTGATTTTGATGATGATGAGGATGATGATGATGCTTACGACGACGAGGATGACGATTATGATGATGATGAGGCTCATGATGATGAAGATGCTGATGATGATGATGCTCATATGATGCTGAGGTTTATGATGATAATGATGATGATGATGATGATGATGATGATGACCATGATGATGAGGATAATGATGGTGATGATGATGATGATGATGATGATGATGGTGATGATGATGATGATGATGATTATGACGATGATGATGATGATGATTGTGGTGGTGGTGGTGATGATGAGGATGCTGACGATGCTGCTCATGATGATGATGATGCTGAGGATGATGACAACCATTATGATGATGCTGATGATGCTGATGATGATGATGCTGGTGGTGGTGATGATGATGATGATGATGACGATTCTGATGAGGACGATGATGATGATTATCATGACAACTATTGTGGTGATGATGCTGATGATGGTGCTGCTGATAATGATAATGATGACGGTGATGATGATGATGATGATGATGATGATGATGATGTTGATGATGATGAGGATGACGACGATGATGATGATGATGATGATGATCATGATGATGATGATGATGATGGTGGTGGTGGTGGTGGTGATGAAGATGAGGATGAGGATGAGGATGATGATGGGGACCAGTGCCAACCCAAGAGTCATCAACGATGTTGGAATCAACTCTTCCTCCAAGCTTCCTCTTCATAGGCCCCTACAACAGTTCATTTCCATTGAGGTGACTGCCTCGTTGGAACACAACCGTTTGAAGATCCTGAAGCGTGCCAAAACATTGTTCTCGGATTTTCAACTCCACGTATCAACCTGACTGCTGCGTCTCGACGATCCGGAATCGTGCCAGAACGTCATTTTTCTGATCATAGCACCGCGAATCAATATAATTGTTGCGGCCGCATAATCCTGAATACTTCCACAACGCCATTTCTGGTACGTTGGTCATGGAACTCCGTGAAACTCTTGCAATTTTTGAAAACGAATGTGCGCGGCGCTAAGGCGAGAGCCACATCTTGAAAAGGAGCCGCCCTCAATCCGTGAAGCTCTTGCAAATGTTGAAAACGAATGTGCGCGGTGCTAAGGCGAGAGCCACATCTTGCAAACGACCCGCCCTTAATCCGTCAACCTTTTTCAAATGTTTTGAAACGAATGTACTCGGCGCTAAGGCGAGAACCACATTTTGAAAAGGACCCGCCCTCAACCCGTGAATCTTTTGCAAATGTTTACAACGAATGTACTCGGCGCTAAGGCGAGAACCACATTTTGAAAACGACCCTCCCTCAATCCGTCAAACATTTGCAGTTTTTGAAAACGAATGTGCGCGGCGCTATGGCGAGAGCCACGTTTTGAAAAGGAGCCGCCCTCAATCCGTGAAGCTCTTGCAAATGTTGAAAGTGAATGTGCGCGGCGCCAAGGAAGGAGCCACAGTTTGAAAACGACCCGCCCTCCATTTGTGAAGCTGTTGTAACTTTTTAAGCTTCAGAGTCATAAATCGTGAGGAAGTCTCAAGCGAAACGCCCGGCCTGCCCTAACAATTGGCCTCGGGGTGCGACAGGGAGAAGTTATTTAGAAGGAGAAGGAATTGAGGATGAGTTCGCTGCTGTTGGCGTCGATGATGTGGTGATGAGGGGAAGAAGTTTCCTTCGAAACGCGTTAGATGCCGATGCCAAGGCGAGCCCGCGATCCCAATGCGCTTGCAAGATGACCTCAACGCACCAAGCGACCCGACAATGCGGCACGGTTCGTGTCACGACGGCCTCAGCGTTGGTTTCTGACACCACATTGACCGTTTAAGCTTGAATGATCGGCAACCTTCGGGTCGCGAGATCGTTCAATATTGGCCGATGTTGCCGGCGGCGTTCAACGTGGCACGCCCGCGTCGGGGTCGCCGCGGCATCGACGCGACGCAAGCAGACCTTAGGGCGACCCCAAGATGACCCAGTGATCCGTACATGATCTCGACGTGGCTTCCAGCAGGCCGTAGGTCCACCCCAAGGCGGTCCAACCCATATATACAGACATGTATATGCAACGTGCGGTCGAGATATGTCTTAATGACAATGCAGTGACCCAAAGGCGGGCCAACAGTGGCCGAGTCACCACGAGAACACGACACCATGATCCCGGCATAGTTTGGATGCGCTGTCAAGATGACACCAGGGCAACGCCAAAACGAATTCAAATTGCAGGATATGCATCCCGCTCGGGATTTACGGGAAGCCTCTTTTGTCCGGTTGGGGTCTATCTCCTGAACTAAAACCAGGGTGGTCAAAGACATCAGGGGCTCGGGATCCAGGCCAGACCACACAAGACGACTGTCTTTCTAGGCTTCTAGGCGGGTAGGGAGGGGCTCCATGTCTCCTGGCCCTCTCCTGGCCCCTTGTCTCCTCAGGGCGGCTGGCGCACTGACAGGAATTCAAGGAACCTTCGGCACGGCGATGTATGGTGATGCGAGTGAGGTCGAGGTGGAGGGTGAAGATGACAGGAATGTGGGGATGAGTTCTGGGTGGCGGGGCAGTACGATGAGAAGTAAGGAGGAGTGAGAGGAATTGGTCGAATGTGAGGCGCTCGAGCATGATAATATGGAACAACACGAAGTAGTAGGATGACAAATATAATGAGTTGGGGTTTGTGAAGGAGGACATGAAAAGGGGGATGATGATGCTGCTGTTGATGTTTCTGTTTGTAATGTCGATGATGATGACGACGCCGATGCCGATGACGGTGACGGTGATCCTGATGATGATGCTGCTTGCGATGATGCTGATGCCGATGATGATGCTGATGATCATGATGGCGATGCTGATGCTAATTATGATGAGGATGAGGAGGATGAGGATGAGGATGAGGAGGATGAGGGAGGAGGTGGAAGACGAGGATGATGACGATGATCACGATGACGATGCTGATGTTGATGATGATGCTGATGTTGATGATGATAACGATGATGACGATGACGATGATGATGATGATGATGATGATGATGATGATGATGATGATGATGATGATGATGATGATGATGACAACTATGGTGGTGGTGATGTCAATCATGATGATGATGCTAACGATCATGATGATAACAACGATGATGATGATGATGCTGATGCGGATGCTGATTCTTATGCTGATGCTTGCGATGGCGATGGCGACGACGATGACGACGCCGATCATGCTGACGACGCTGACAACGACGACGATGATGATTATGAGCGGAGGGAGGAGCAGGAGGAGGAGGATGAGGATGAGGTAGCTGACTAGGATGGGGGTGACGATGAAGATGAGGATGGGGATGCGGATGACGATGATGTTGATGCTGATTCTGATGATGATGACGATGATGATGAGGATGAGTTTGATGATGGTGATGATGCTCATGATGATCATGATGATGTTGATGATGGTGATGATGCTGATGATGATGATCGTGATGGTGATGGTGTTGATGGTGATGGTGAGGGGGATGTTGATGATGATGAGGATGCTGCTGCTGATGATGATTTTGGTGATGCTGACGATGATGCTGATTCTGATGCTGCTGATGATGATGATGGTGATGGTGATGGTGATGGTGATGGTGATGATGCTGCTGATGATGATGCTGATGTTGATGCTGATGCTGATGCTGTTGATGATTATGATGATGATAGTTGTGGTGGTGGTGATGATGATGATGATGATGCTGATGCTGATGCTGATGCTGCTGCTGCTGCTGATGATGATGATGATGATGATGATGATGATGCTGCTGCTGCTGATGATGATGATGATGATGATGCTGATGCTGATGATGATGATGATGATGATGATGATGATGATGATGATGATGATGATGATGATGATGATGATGATGATGATGATGGTGGTGGTGGTGATGATGATGATGATGATGGTGATGATGATGAGGGTGATGACGACAGGCACCTCCTTATCCCCTTAGCGCCTGGCTTCCGCTAGACGAGCACCACGCACGTCTTCATCGTCTGCTGCGCGGCCAATGTCTTCGGCTTCGACTTCTGTGTGCCACTTCCCGAGGCGGTGCTCACACGCTCCCCTGGGACACGGGGTTGCGTGGGCCACCCTTTCCTGCTTACCTGAGCTCAGGTGGGGCTCCCCTGACTGCCTGGAGGAGGCCGTCGGCGTCGGCGAGGGGTCCCTCCCCTCGCCGTTCGGGGCAGTGTGCCCGGAGTCTAGGCGCTGAAGGGCCCCGTGTGCAGCGGCCTGCGGGGCCCTGCGCCTCCGCGGCGGCCCCGGGGCCCCGCCTGCGGTGGCCTCTCGGGCTCTGCGCTCTCGCCGCGGCTCTTCGGGGCCCGTGCGCCGCGGTTCGTCGGGCCCTGCGCTCGCGCGGCGGCTCTCCCGGCCCCCGCGCGCCGTGGGGCGCCGGGCCAGGCCCGCGGTGCGCCGCAGGCGCGCCTCGGCTGCTGCTCCTGCGGATCCCCGAGCTGCCGCTGCTCGCCCGCGGGCCGCCGCTCCTCGGCACCCCGCCATGGCGGCTTCAGCTCCAAAGTGTTCCCCCCCCCCCCCCCCTCTCGCCTCGAGTTCTACGCCTCTCTCCTCGCGGGGCTTTTGGGGGGGGGGGATGGCGACGACGCTCGCGCGCCTTGCGTCAGCGTTCTCAGAGAGCAGGGAGCCCCGCCGTCGGCTCGCCCGCGCATCCGATCCCGCCGCAATCCGCTGCGGACCGATGCGCCAGGATGGCGCGGCACGAGCTCTGCGAGTTCCGGAGGGCACAGCGCCAATCGTGCTTCCGCCTGGACTGTCGCAGCTGCTGGCGCTCGCTCGCGGGTGGAGGGCACGGAAGTTGGAGCTCGAGGAACATGCAACATGATTTCCTGGAAAGGGGGGTGACTACTGACCTCCCCTTCGCTCCTTCTCCCAGTCTCGTGCTTCACTGTCAGCTCAATTCTACTACGGCCCCGGCCATGGAGACTCTGCCGCCCCCGACGTCGCCTGGCCTCGCGGAGTCGCGGAGTGGAGGGCTCTCCCCCCTCACGGCCTTGCGCCTTCGCCAGCTGTCGGAGCCAGGCCAGGCGGGGCCTCTGTCCGTTCGGCGGCCGCCGACGACCCGTCGCGCGCGGTGCCTCCTTCGCCGGCTGAAGCGGCGGACGGTGCAGGTTTCGGTGGGTCTGACGGGGTTGGGAGGAGGAGGAGGAGGAGGAGGAGGAGGAGGAGGAGGAGGAGGAAGAGGAGGAGGA